GGCGAGACGTGGGGATGGGGTGGAGCAGCAGTGGAAAATCTTCACTTTGCGTTCGTGGATGGTTCCGAATCCTAAGCGAATATTCGAGCTTATGGATCCGGGGCCTAGATCGTGGATCTGGCCGTAGGGTTGCCTTGCGGGTGTGTTCCCTTGCCTTTGTAGCTCCTTTGCGTCGTACTTGCCGCCTCCTGTGACGGGATCTTGAGAGTTGAGAACCTCTAGGGTGTAACCGACCAAGTAGTAAATTCGGTTAACCTGTCGGATCTGCACAAGTAAAGGAAAAGCTCACTAGGTTGTTAGATCTGGCCAATGTATTATCCAGTTATCACTACCAACACTAGATTCGCAATTCCAAACCTTCTCCTAGCTCGTACGGCCAAATGTAGTTCCGGTTCTTGAGGGCAGGAAGGCACTTGCGTGATACTGTGCAAATTGAGGTCTGTATTGATATTTAAGCCTATACCTGCCTGGATTTCTACCTTCTATGTCTTTTACTTGCTAAATCCCTTACCAGGCTCGGCTGCATGTCCCTTCTTTCCTTGACCCATCATCCCAGCTGTGTTATCTTCAGATCCACCGGATCCATGACGTAATCATCATGGTCACCCTATTATGGGTACACTCATCCGGATCCAGGTCGCTTGGATCCACCTCACTGTAATTGTACACTCGCCGTGGATCCGAGCTCTCCAATCATCCAACATCATCTTGCAACCGTCTGTGATCTCCATTGTCCCACGAAAGTTCGAGATCCACTGCATCCATCATCCCTATACCCTGGATCCAGGTCCCTCAAGGCGGGATCCTCCCTCCATGGATCCGAGCTCGGAAGTATGGGATCCGGGGTACCTCGCGGTGGATCCTGACTTCTCGTTAGCCGTGGCTACTAGATCCACCTTCGGATGACACCTACCACCATTCCTTCATAGGATCCACACTCGATCCACTGGTACATAGTATATCCCATATCCACCTAAGTGAATCCAGGTAAGGGTGGATCCGAGATAAGTCTTAGTGGATCTTGTCTTCCCGTACATCGCTCATACCAGATCCATCGTCATTCCATACGGTCATGGCTAATCCACCACCGGCAACTTGCATCCGTGCCACCAACCCAAATCCTCTATAATCACTTGAAATTGTCACTGATTCGGGATAGTGACCCCGCGTCAGGCCCATTCTCTTATTTCTGAGAAAGCACTTCACCACATTAGCTTGTTGAACTCAAAGCAGCATAAAATATAAATTCCGTGTTCTACTTATGTTATGATCCAAAACAACACCGCACACAATATCCTGAGTGCTCACATATTATGATAGACATGACCAGGGCTTAACGTGATCTGCAAGATGAGCACCATCTTACCCGGGAGGTTTCGTCTATAGTCTCATTTGAGCGCATATCTCCCACAATGACGCCAATCGGAGGCGCGCGTGGTTGCAAATGTAATATATGCTGTTCAGAAGACGGGTCAGTATCCATGATGCTACGGAATTGGCATAGATCGGTGAGGAATCCTAGTTTGGGGGTCTAAATACGCCTACTCAAACATAATACCATATGTCACGTCATCGCGGTGAGGCAGTCGACACCATATCTTTGATTGCGACGGTCTATTAGAGCAAGGTTTGGTCAGCCTGCCGCGCGAACTATCTTTTAAGACAGTTTTTTTTGCTAATGGTCGCCACATAACAGTAATATTATGCTTTGCCACAGTTCCGCTGAGCTCGTTATGATAATACTGTAGCGTATTTCCACTATTTTCCGCATGCATTGATCTTACTTGCATAGCTGACTCACTTACTGACTTATTTGCATAGCTACTCGCTGCCAGCACATAGCAATTCCAAGCCAAACTGCTACTAACTGACAGAGTGGTGTAACTCTTTTCCGAGTGGCATTTACTAGTTCCGATATGTAAGAAAAACATACGAAGCCACATGGAGGTAGGCAGATTATCATATCGTAGTGGTGTTTAGACGTGAATCGAATAGTAGTTCATGTACATTAGGTGACGTACTTCCGCTGCCAACTTATCAGCTCGGTGTGATGTATCCGTGCATATATTGCGAGGTCGTTAATGAGTGTATATCACGCGCTCGTGATATCTAAAACCTATGTATAGGATCACTGTCGCTTTCTCGGTACATTTGCGTCGTCGTGCTGGCTTACTGTGCCTACGCTTCTGATGTATCAGTCTATATGACCAAGCAGGTCACTAACTGGTCACAGGCCATACTGCAGCGATACTGGCAAGCTGACCGCGCGTCTGTCACCTGTATTCAGCGCAGTATCTACGCGCGCGGCGGGTACACCTTATAGCCACCCGCGACTAAGCCAACCTCTTATCTCGACCATTATGGACAGGGCACTAAAGTATAGTACTGCGTACAGACAGTTCGACTTACCACACCCA